CCCCCCCTCCCGCGCGCGCGCAAGCCGCCGCCGCTGGTGGGCCGGCCGAGGCTAGGGACCTGCGCCGGGTTGGTGTCTGTGAGAGACGCGTTCCGGATGGAGAAGGCCTCGTCGCCGACCCACATCTCGCACGCCGACGCGTAGAGCGACTTTTTCCGCGCCGGCATCTGCTTCTCCTTGAGCCACATGGAGAAGTACACGGGGGAGAGGGCGAGCCGGCCGCAGATGAAGGTCTGGTTCACGCCGCGCTCCTCCATCGCCTCGAGCACCAGCCGGATGATCTCTGTCTGGCTGCGGGTGGGCTCGGGCAGTTCGGTGACTTGGTCCTCCGAGAGCCGCGCAGGCTCGCTTACCTGCTCCGCGTCGATCTCGACAGCGTGGGAGGCACCGGCCTCGCCTGCGGGAGCGCTCGAGACGCTGTCCGGAGGGCCTGCGCCACCGCCGACCGGCGTTGTTTGTGCCTCCATTTCTCCAACCTGAGCCCGGTTTCTTTTTCTCTTTCCTGTTCCGCTCCGAGCGCGGCTGGCACTCGTCGCAGAGGCCTCGCCTTCGAAAAGTCGGGCATGGCTCTCCCGCAACTTTCTCGCTAACACGCGCGCACCGCCGAGCTGCGGCGGGCGCGCTGCGCCTGCGGCCGCACGTCTAAATCCGTCATAGTGCCACGACGTGCGGCCTAGAATTACTCTGCTGGAGGAATGGTTGGGCAGGTTGTGAGGGACACGATCCAGGCGTGAACACGCCGATCTGACAAAATCCCGAGTGGCTACCGCACGCGCTGGCTTTGTTTGAAGTAAAAAGTCGAATCAGAGCGCCGTCGGCGCTGTCCCTCGTTTTCCTCCCCCGGACCGCCCGTCCGGGACCGCTCCGGGACGCACGCCGGCGAAGCACCATCAAGCTGATGCACGGCCCCGGAATCGCCTCCCCTGGCTTAGCTAGACTGAGAGATATTGTGGACATGGTTGGTCTCTATAATATATACACTGACACTCCACCTCCCCAGAGCTCGTCCCGGTCCGTCACGGCCATCCTCGGCCTCCGCCCTCCGGAGGGCCCCCGGCCGCGGCGCGGTGCGGCGGAGTCACAAATCCGACGGCAGAGCACCGGGACGCGGTCGGGCGATCGGAGGCCCAACTAGGCGTATGCATTGCCCATCCAGGGGGCTATCACCTGTACCTATCAACAGGCGCCTGCGGCGCCGTGCTCAGGAGCTGCTGCTCCAACCTGTTCACACTTTCGTACGGCACTTGTGGCTATTGCTCAAAGCTTCGGGGGAGAAGGCCTACATATTATGACTTCATCCATGCGCCTGGTGCATAAGAGCTGTGGGTCGGGACATATCATGGTCGGTGGCGCCGTAGCTAGAAGCGATAATACGCACTACTCCGGTCTGCACAGCATCTTCCCCCACCGCTCACCCAACCAGCTGAGACCGGTCCTCCGGGCAAGCATGCTTGTGGTGCGCTGGTGCGTGTGGCAGCCTTCGCAGAGCCACACCGCGGCCTTCTGGCGCTGCGTGCATTCCCGGTAAGACTTGCGGCTAAATAACACCGCCCCGTCCGGCTTGACATGGTCCCACCCGTCGCGTCGGGCATCTTGTCGGCCGGCACGGCATCCGGCGCGTCGTCACCACGCAGCCCGTCTGGTTCCGGGCCTGAGTGCACAGTATCGAGCCAGCCAAGCTCCACCGCTAGCGCCTGGCAGGAAGCGCACTTCCCGCCGCCCGTATAGTACCCAACATGCCGGCCATGGAGCCGTCGAGGCTTAGGCAGTGATGTCGGCTCCATATCCAGCAGACGGGCCGCGAGGGGTGTGCAAGTCCCAGAACGGTGCGCGCCGTGGAGGGCGCGGAAGAGCAATTGAAATCGATTGTCCGACTTTGGGGTTGTAGTACGGACTCCGTACTACAATTCTCTAGTCGGATGAACGGTGTCAGACAATCGTGCGCGCCCCCCACGGTGCCTGACGTGCGCCTTGGCTCGTGCAGCACGGGGCGCGAGTCGGCAAAACGCAGTAATCTCGCTGAGTCTCACCGCCTGCCAGGCTGCTCTAGAGGTGGAAATACCGACCTTCCTGGCACGGCATGACATGCCCCTACTGGCATGCCAAGCAAGGGCTCGCGGGTCGAGGTTGTTCTCGCGCCACACCACCCTGCCACCGTTGCCACCGAAGGCAACACGGTGCTCCGAAACGGCCACTTAAGAAGCGCCTTTTGCGGCTATTGCTCAAAACTTCGGGAGAGAAGGCCTACATGTTATGACTTCATCCATGCGCCTGGTGCATAAAAGCTGTGGGTCGGGACATTTCACAGTTGGTGGCGCCGATAACGACCTCCGGAATGCCCTCGCAATCGGCTCGGATGGGGTCCACCGGGAACAATCTCAAGCCCTCTCCGTGGCATCACGCGCCGGTGTGAGCTTGAAGACCCAAGATAAGTGCGGTTCGGGACAGCTCGGGCCTGTGCTACTGATGGGCCTGGGCCAGGAGAGCGACAGAGAAGGCGAGCTCGTGAGCTGAGAGGCTGGAGAGTCCGCGTGTGACCTTGTCGCGAAGCAGGTGCCACGAAGCGCTATTTCCTGCTCTCAGCTTACCACCTCGCCTTCTCTGTCGCTCTCCTGGCCCAGGCCTACCAGTAGCAGGTCTGAACTGTGCCAGACCGCACGAATATTGGGTCTTCAGGCTCACACCGGCTCGTGATGCCACGGAGAGGGCTCGAGATCGTCCCCGGTGGACCCATCTGGAGCGATTGCGAGGGCTTTTCGGAGGTCTCTACAACCCCTACACCACATCCCACACCGGTAGAGCTCGACTGCACCTCGGCAAGCATACGAGAAAAAAATTGCGACTCATTGCGACGCCTACTGACACAAGGAAGAAAATACTCCTATGGCGCTGTGCGCTGGTCTGTGAGAGGTTGAGACACGACACGATTCGGAAAGCGCGTCCCGGGAGACGCACAGGTAAAGGATCCCAACGGAATCGGGCCCTGTGATGAAGAGGAGATACGGACAGCCTTTGGCGCGGGCATGTGGGGAGGAAAGCTGCCAAACACGTGGGAGCCGATAGACGCGGAGATGTACGCGATACTCGCATACTTACGCAAAATGGCGAGCGCGAGCGATGCGCAAACGCGGCGGTGCTTAGTGCTATGCGACTGCAAACCCGCGCTGCAGCAAATTGAGAATGCGCACGCAAAGGGATGCCAGAAGGTCTGAGGGACTGGGAGAGAGGAGGTCTCCTGGAGGCGATTGCTTACTATAGATCGAAGCTAGAGGCGGTGGTCTTCATGTGGGTGCCAGCACACGTGGGAATAGCCTGCAACGCATACGCCGACGCGGTGGCGACAGCATACCTCGGAAATAACGACGCGGAGGACGCCTCGAAAGTGGTGCGGGACGCGGTGCGAACTCGGCCGTGCATGTACACAGTGAGAAAGGAGATGGCAGAAGACCCGGAGAAGAGGGAGATATCGGACCGACGGACGTACGGGCACATGCGCCAGAGCGCACACGAGTGGGTGTGCGAACAACTTCGAAAGACGGTGAGGCCGGGATCGCACACGGCAGGGGTGGCGGGACGGTTGTGGAGCGAAGTGGCGGTAGCCAGCCTGAAGCATCGATGGGACAATAAGATGAGATTACCAGACGAGAACGGGGGGAAGGACAGGCGGGCGACATTTGACGACGTCGGGGATCACAATGTGACGACCAAAACGATCTTGGGGGCCAGGGTGAGACAACAGGTCGGGGTGCCACATGGGGCGCACCACAGGCGTATTCTAGAGGGGGAAAAGAAGCGGGGAATGAGGGGCCCCGCCACGAGAAGCGCGTTCTGGGGATGCAGAGCGTGCAAGGCGGCTAGGGATGAGGCCACAAAAGAGGCGCGCGAGGCAAGGAGGAGAATCGGAGAACTGAGAGACTGGGACGACTGGAAACAAGAAGACAGTGAGCCACCACAGGCGTCGTTGGCGCACATACTGAGCGGCAGCTGCGCTGGAAATAAGGAAGAGGCGCGTCACTTCATGCGGAAGCTAGACAAACACACGGCGAGGGCGACAGCAATAGTCGAACGGGCGGCGCCGGACTCAAAAGACACCGCTACATCCCTGAGACGGCAACCTCCTTAAAGGCAATGGGGTCTAGATTCGGAGCGCTCGCCGAAGGGGAGTACGACAAAATAGCGCCCGTGATTGCCTGCACGCTGCCCGCACTCACGGACACCATAACCGAAAGAAAGAGAGGGGAGCTCGCGGGAGAGGTGACGAGTGAACTACAGGTAGTGGGGAAGGCAGCCTCGATTGCCATACAGACATGGGTGCGAAACAACGACAAGACCAAGGCACGGGCAGAGGAACGAGAGAAGAATATAGAGTGGATAAGGCGCCTGTTCACGGCATGGAGGGTAAGCCACGCCGAACGCAAGGAAGCCGGGGAAGACGACCCCGAGGAGGACGAAACACCAGTGGAAATCCCGCCGTCAGCTGTCACGATATACCCGAAGGGAACCCCAGTGCCAACACCGACAGTTGAGGTACAAGTGCTCGAAACGAGAGTGGACCTGAGCAATGACATGACTTGGAGGCAAATGATCGGAGTGGGAGTCAGAAATGTGGTCCTTGCGCGAGGGGAGCTCGATAAACTCGAGGGGCCAAATTATGCCGCGAGGAGGGCGGAGTTACGCAGAGCGGCGAGAGAAGCAGCGAGAGCAAGGCAGACGGCAGCGGCGTCTCAGAACGAGGCCGAGGAGAGCGATGAGTCAGGGGAAGAGACAGCAGGAGAGAGAACGACGAGAGTGGGAAGAACGCGAGGTGGCATGAAGGTCGCTGCGAGAATTGGTGAGAAACTGCGGAGAGAGATAGGAAGTGGTAGACGCCCGAGGGTGGGCGACGGCTAACACCACACTCCTCTCCTTAAAATCCCTGTGTGGTGGCGGCGTGCCGTCCTCCCATCCCTCCCTTTATGGCGCTTTTCTTTCTTTCTGCGAGAGGTTGAGACACACCGCACGAAATTTAGACCCAAGCGCCCTTCGGTATGCCTTCGCTCCTGCTGGCGATCATGACCTCGGCCCTCTCGCCGCGGCTCGGCGCTGCGCTGTATCCCAGCGCCGCCCGACCGCAGCCTGCTGCGCGGGCTGGTCGGCTGTGTGCCGCTGAGGCCGCCGCCCCAGTCCGAGTTGAGGTCTGTATGAACAAGTACTGCAAGAAGCGTGGCTCGGCAGCTACGCTCGAGCTTCTACAGCAGCTTGCGGACGGGCGCGACGATGTGCTCGTGGAGGTGGCGGATATGAGCCACACGGAGCACGGGTGCTTCGACGAATGCACAATGGGGCCGAATGTGCGCATCGGCGGCGACGGGCCGCGGACCGACTCGGCGCCCTTTGGAGCCGGAAAGGTCGTCAACGGCATCAAGGGCGAGGACGCTGCGCAAGGACTGCTCGATACGGTGCTGAAAGAATAACGTAAAGCACACGCGAAACACGCCAGACGCTTGGAGTCCGTCTCGAGCGGACACTCTCTGTATCATGTTACTGTATCCTCTCTAGAGGGCAAGGATGTTATTGGCTCTCGCCGTCTCCGTTCTTGCACAGAGAGCCCTCAGTGGTAATTTTGGGTTGTACATATCTGGTTAAACCTCGCGCGGCACCTCGTTCGGCGGCCGATCACGCAGTAAAACAGAGATGCGGCGCGACTTTGGAGGTAGGCTCTGCCCCTCAAAGCTCGGCTGCAGCGGCAGCGAGTGCGCCCAGCGGTACCGCGCCTCGCCGCGCAGCACGTAGAGCGAGCGGCGGGGCAGGAGCAGGTCGAAGGCGGCGGCCGGGTCGGCCTCGTGCTGGAGCAGCATCACCGCGTGCGAGAGCAGCGACAGGCCGACGATGCTCTCGCCTACGACACAGCGGACGCAGCCTGGCGACACTTGCGAGACGCCGGGCGGTGGTCAGTCGCGGCCCGCCCGAGTACTCGACGTGGTCGACGTGCCGCGAAATCTCGCCGTGCGCCTCTAGGTCGAGGACGTGCACTGGAAGCAGCTCTGCGCCCGACGGCAGCGCGGCGAGCGACGCCACTCGATCAAAGAGGCTGCGCGAGGCGGACGACCACGAGCGCAGCGGCCGCTGGAGCTCGCGGTAGTGTCGGATGACGCCGTCGAAGTGGCCCGCCTCGTATCGTCGCGCCCGGAGGTACCTGTCTGCCTCGGCTGCGAGCGCATCCTCCTCTGCGGGCGTGATCACGTCGGCGTGCAGCTCCACCGGCGGCCGCGCGGCGCCGCCGCGTACCTGCCCGACCGATGGACGCAGCAGGTCGAGTTCGGCGGGAGGTTCGAGACGTGCAACAGTACATCGTCGCCGCAGAGCACCGGCACGCCGCATGGCCGAGCAGAGCATAAAAGCACGGCAGCCTGGCGAGGTACTGCGCGCGCCTCTCGATTCTGTCTGGTGAGGTCAATTCCGGACAGCCTGAGAGTCTGGGCCACCTCGCGCGTCGTGAGCGAAGCAGAGACTTCCACTCCGAGACCTCGAAAGAGCTGCCCCATGGGACTCGGAGAGGGTAACCTGTCAAACCTGGGGTGGGCAGGGCCTCTACTCGCCAGGTTTGCGGTCGTAAACTGAAATGGGAGCTGGAAGAAAAAGAAAGCAGACGCCCACAATCTCGATGCACTGTGCCTCGGGTTCGTGCGTGCGTCGCCCATCTCTCTGTTACCATTCTGCCGCACGAAGAGCCACAGCCCAGCCGCTCATTCGGCGAGCGTAGACGAGCAGAGCATAGGCTGGCCAGCGAGCTAATGGAGTCGCAGGCGACGACGGTAGAGCGACAGGCTACCGGCGGCCCGACGGCGGAGCCACAGCTTGCCGGCGGCCCGAGCACGGAGGAGCTGGCAGCCTTGCCACGCATGGCCGAGCTGATGGATTCACTCGCAGCCGTAGCCGTGGATGCGCCCGACGCCTTTGCCCACTACAAGTTGCTCGTTGAGGCGCTCAGCGTTCCGAAACGACACCCACGTCCGCGAAATGCGGGCAGTGCGGTGACGCCGACAAAGAAATGCGGCCAGTGCGGCGCCATCAATCCGACGGCGCGCAAAATCTGCTCTGCGTGCGGATCTTACATTATTCGGAAGGCAAGACCGCCACGCTTGCGACAGCGCAGCGACTCGCAACAGCAGGCACGCAGCGACCCTTGCGTTGCAAGAGCAGCGAAGGTGTGCCCCGCCTGCAGCGGGCAAAACGCCGTGCTGGCCCTTGCGTGCTCCTCATGCCGGGTCAAGTTCTCGGTCAGCCAGACGGCAGCGCTTGCCAGCAGGAGCGAGGACAAACCAACACCAGTGTATGCGGAGCTGGAGCCGCAGCCGCAGGTGGCCACGGGTGGGTCTGCGTGCGGGCCCGCCGTCTCTCGCAGTGCCCTTTTGCAGCTGCCCACCGGCTTGCAGGCCGTAGTGGTTCGTGATGCGCTCGCCGACCTCGGGCGGACCGTCGAGGCGTCAGCGGCAGCGACAGAGTGGCTGAGACGTGGCGGGATGGAGCAGCAGATCGCGCAGGAGCTGGCCTCCGACCCAGACCTCGCCGCCGACCCTCTCCGGAAGTTCGCCCAGGCGACGATCGAATCGACCGAGGCGCTCGCCAAGGCGGTCCGTGACCAGATGGTGGTACTGGAGCTCTCGTCCAAGGCGGTGCTGGACGTGTCGAAAGCGGAGCTCGAGGCGGAGCTGCACCGGTGCAGGGTGGAGGAGAGGGAGCTTCTCCTCTCACTCTCATCGGCGGAGGCGGAGGGGCTGCAGAGCGGCACGGAGAGCGAAGCTTCGGACCCGGCGGCGGAGGCGGACTGCTTCTGTGGCACTGATCGCCACTTGCCGACCAGCAGCCTCCCTTTCGAAGGCGCGTGGGTCGCGTGCGACTCCTGCGACCGATGGTGCCACGGCGAGTGTGTCGGCCTCTCCAAGGCCGAGGCGGAGCAGCTGCAGCACTTCGTCTGCCCGCCGTGCGAGGCGGCGGCCGAAGGCGGGCAGCCAAAGGCACTTCGTCTGCCCGCGAGCGACACCGCCGCGGTCAAGTCGCTCTCATCGGCGGAGGCGGAGGGGCTGCAGAGCGGCACGGAGAGCGAAGCTTCGGACCCGGCGGCGGAGGCGGACTGCTTCTGTGGCACTGATCGCCACTTGCCGACCAGCAGCCTCCCTTTCGAAGGCGCGTGGGTCGCGTGCGACTCCTGCGACCGATGGTGCCACGGCGAGTGTGTCGGCCTCTCCAAGGCCGAGGCGGAGCAGCTGCAGCACTTCGTCTGCCCGCCGTGCGAGGCGGCGGCCGAAGGCGGGCAGCCAAAGGCACTTCGTCTGCCCGCGAGCGACACCGCCGCGGTCAAGTCGAGCCGTTCGCCCGTTCCTCGCCGCACGAGCCGCCGTGTCGGGTGCGCCGCCCCAGTGGCGAGGGCGACCCTCACGCGGTACGGTCGAGAGGTGCTCGGCCGGCGCGTGCGCATCTTTTGGCCGGAGGAGGACGCGTGGTACTCGGGACGCGTCAAGGACGTGTCCCTGGTCGACGACACGCACTACGTCCTCTACGACGACGGCGAGACTCGGTGGGAGCCTCTCAGCACGGTGCTGTGGGAGCTATACCCTGCCTCCTCGCCAGACGACGCCGCAGGCACGCGGCCGTCGGCGCCGGGACGTGCTGCGGCCAGGCAGCAGGCGGCAGTAGCACCTGTGGTGCTGGAGGCGGTGGCAGTCCGCTCTTCTCTCGCGCCGGCATCGCTCCACCCAGACGAGATTGTGGAGGCGATCGTGTGCGACGGCTGCGATGGCGAGTTCGAGCTGCCGCCGGGAACGACGGCACCCGAGGGCGAGTGGTTCTGCGCGGCGTGTGGCGCCGGCGCCAGGGATGGGGCGGAGCGCCGCAAGAGGCCGAGGTCGAGTGACGGTGCTTTCGGCTCGGCGATGGACGTCGACGTTGTGGACGGCTTCGAGTTTCGGTCGCAGGCCGGCCCGGCGATGGACGTCGACGTTGTGGACGGCTTCGAGTTTCGGTCGCACGCCTGCTCCAAGATCGCGGCAACACTACTCGGTTGTAAGCTCGTCTCGCGGCCGTGTGGGAATCAGAAGTAGGGGAAGTAGGGGCTAACGACGAAGCGCTTGGCCCTAGGTAGGGAGTAGGATATAAAGAAAAAAGAAACAAAGCGGAGATACCCGTGGTTGTTTTGTGTGTGTTAGTGCCAGTGCGCGCCAGTCCTGTGCCTCATGCGTCATGGGCGTCTTTTGTCTCTCCGGCTGTATGCAGTACGGCTGCGCGTACGGCTGCGGTGCTGTCTGTGTCTCCGCACTCCGGCCTCACAAGTCACATCTCGTTCCTCCCTCCAAGCACACCTATTCTTTCACCGAACCTCGCAGTGATTTGCAGAGCCGTTTGTGCTCACGCCAGTGGGCAGCCTGACATTCCCTGGAGCAATAGCCTACCGCCTCACAGCGTGCGCAAGCCTTCAGTCGGGTCACGGCGCCGCAGCTCGCGCAGGCATTGCCTCGTTGCGGCTTCTGCAGTCGCAGATCCCTCATTAGATGATTCAAGGCCAGCTCAGCTCCCATATTGTTTCGTGCGGGAGCCTTCGGGTTCATCTTTGGCGCGATCCGACGGTCAAACAAATTCGTCTCGTACTCGACAATTTGATGTGTGTTGCCGGTCATGATCCAGGCACGTCCCGATGCCTTGTTGGCGGCAGCAGGGCTCGTCAGTTCATCGCCTTGCTGCTTGTCGAAGCCGAATGTATCGACAGCACCACACGCGCCGAACGCACATAGAAATGCATCCTGCATCTTCTCAAACTGCTTTGAATCTCGATACAGCCTGATGAGTAGCGAATAGACATAGTTTGTTGCGCTGTTGACGCTCGCTTCAGCTGCCGTCTGCGGGTACTGAGCGATCGCCAATTTCGCAGAATTGTAGACCACTTCAGCTTCACGCCACTGGCAAGCACGCTTGAAGGCGAGACCCAGGTAGGACCACCATGTGTACAAACCACTTGGGCCACCAGGAACCCACATGTGGGGTTTGCGGGACGCGTGGGATACAGCTCGCTTGTAGACGTCGGCGGCTCTCAGAAATTCGCCCCGCGACTCATAGTACTCGCCCAGCTTGCCACAGCTCAGCGTTGCGTCGATGGTCCAGGCATCGCCTTGCGTCTTTGCGAGAGCCAGGTACGCTTCGATCTGCAAGCACAGCATCGATTCGCAAAGGTCCAACTCTGATGCCTTCAAAAGCTCCATGCGAACAAACTCGGAGAGTGCAAGAAACACATAAATCCGACGCTCCACTATAGCTGACTGCATCAGGGAATAGACAACGGCGCGGAGCACGTGTTTCTGCTCCTTGGCGGTGAGGTAGCACGGAGGAACGAGGTACGGGCCAATGTGAGTCCAAACGACTGCTATGCTCGTGTCCCGCCCGTCTATGATCACGTAAGCTTTGAATGCCAGTGCATCCTCAGGAGGGACCCAAATGAAGACCAGCGCACCCCTTCCAAGCATCTCACGCCTCGGCTTCTCACCATACGGCACTGGTCCTTGACACGAAGCTACTCCGTCCTGTACCCAGCGGTCGACCTCCGGTGTGAACATCTGCCCATAAAGAAGGCGCACATCCACAATCGTGATGCGATTGCCACAAAGCGACTGCAAACTCTTAGCCAATCCTTGAGCAGCACTCCCCGAGAGCACCTGGTCTGTTTCTGGGAAGGTGCGATCCACGTAGGAAGGCACATCCCATGCGGTCCGCATACCCACACGCACGTTGGCAGGCTTGACGAGAATGGCTTCCGATTTGTCGTCCACTGCGTCAAGTTGAACTCCAAGCCGCTCTTTGTCTGGATCAAATGAGACTATGACGCCCGAGCGGTCGTTGAGCGCAGGCCGTGCAACGAGGCCTTGCAGCCTGATCCTGCGGCCAAGCAGCGCGTGCGAGGGTTCAATTCCTGCCATCGTGCGCCTTCTGGCTGGCGAGCCCAGACAAGGCGCTCCAACGACGCGTCGCTCGCTCGGTGTCCGCTGTGTCGTCCGTGGTTTATGTCAGCCTGCGCTACGCGCTCCGCCCGCGCGCAAGGTAATTCCGAGTTCTGAACTGAGAAGAAATGCGCTCCGCGCCAAGTGCGCGGGGCCTGGCTAGGGCTGCCGGGCTTGATCTCGACCCACGCGCCGGAGCGCGTGTAGTGCTTGAGCAGCCGGGCGGTAGCCGCAGGCTCCACCTCGAACGGTTGCTCGTCGAGCCACTCACTCGCCGAAGGTGCCCTCGAGCCGCTCGTCTTGCGCGGCAGCCTTGAACTATTCGCCTAAGCCGTACGCGCGGCAAGCCCGGGATCCCCGGAAGAGTGCCTCATTCTGAATCTCCTCTGGCGTTTCGGAGTCGTAGCCGCAGACGGAGGAGCCGGCAGATGACAGATTTTTAGCAATACCAATACCAAACAAATCTAACACTCACGCGTCATTTGGGGCCTGGAGCCCTGTGCAGATGAGGCCCGCTGCCCACCGCGTCGCCGCGCGCGGCATAAAACGCACAACCAACCAACCGGGGAATTCTTTTGCGACACGTGCTGCTTGGACCTCGCTTCGGCGCGCTGCTTGCCGTGTTGCACGAGCGGGCTGCTGTCGTGTTACACGGCGGGCATGTCCAACCCCGCCAGCTCCACCGGCCGCTACGAGGACTACCCGCACGACAAGCGCATCATCATCTACCCGGCGCGCCGGCTCGGAGCCGCCACGACGTGGTTTCCGCTCCCCTCGACCCTCGCTCGACGCCGCCATAGGTCTATCTGGACTCCAAGGCGAGCCTCGCAGACGGCCGCCGCATCGCGGTGGAGCACGCGGCAGAGAGTCCGACGCTGCAGGAGATCGCCGAGGTGCTTGAGCACCTGGGCTACACGCCAGCCCTCGAGGTGGCCGGCTGCCTCTGCGCGCCCCGCCGCTCGCCTCGCCCCACCCGAGCCGGCGGCCGAACGTCGTAGGACAAGCGGTATCCGCGCAACGCGCTCGCGCGCGGCCGGGTGCGCGTCAATCTGAAGGACGCGCCGACGGGGGAGCTGACGGTGCACGGCGCTTCCCTCCCCGACTTCCCCTCCC